GAGAGTCTGAACCTAACCCAGTCTGGTCCAGAACTGCAGTCTTCAACTCCGGTGGGTCACACCAACATTTAATTGTTTACTTTATTTTCTATTCTTTTGTGTATGGTTTCACTATATGCTTGCACAAATTATAAAGTGCCATTATAGCCTCTGAGGAAACGAACAAACCTCAATTATGAGCTCGAGGGATACAACCAATAGGCCCATATCGTTAAACTTACAATCAAATATAATTGACTTTCTTCTCTTTGACGATTGAATTGATCCATCGAGGCCTGCTGGTGAAACTGCAGATGATTAAAATGCGGAAATTAAAAGGCTATTCTCTAGAGCTAAACTGCCTATCAATAAGAGGGAAATGGAATCGTAAATGTGAATGTAGCATGTTGTTTTGCAGCTCCAGCACTCTAGGCCTCACTGGTTGGAGGCTGTTTGAAGTGCCACTGTCTCACCTGGTGTCAGAGCAGCGGACACAAGGTGACTCATCTTTTATGGATGAACTGTTGTGCCCGGTGAAGGACACACTGGTCACCTTGTTGGATCTGAGGCAGCGAGAGTGGCTTTGAACACTGACGGGATACCTCCAACTCCCTGCTGACTGTGGCCAAAACAGTGCCATAAAGCCCACACAATCACAACTTCTACACATCAAAGTGCAGAAGTTGTTTCAAATGTTAGATTGAATTCAGACTAGTGTTGAAAGAAATCCGCTTCCCTGGCTCAGAACCCATGTGCACTTCAGTGAGTCTGGCTCCCCCCAAGGCTTAAGCCCTCAATGCAATTGGCTGCACTTCAAGCCGAAAAATGCAGGAGTCTCAGTCCATCCATTCTAAACTGTTCTGTGGTGGGCAGCTGCCAGACTGCCAACCGAGGCAGGTAGCTGGCAGGCTCACCTGGAATACAGAAAACATATGTAAAACATGAATTACTTTGACAACAAAGGAGGAAATTGTTCTAATTTCTCTTGGCAAATGAAGAAGCCAAAAAAAAGCTATTTTACCGTTATAACTTTGCAAGAATCGTGGAACACACAGAACTAAGTGATTTGGTTTTTAGTTAATGTACAAAATAAAATACTGTATATTGTATATAGATTGTACATATTTCCCCATCCAAAAAAAAACATGATCTTGATAACACATAGACTTGATCCCATTTTCGAAACCACAGTGATAATTTGAAGAATTTTTTAGAACAATTGGCTGCCAATTTGAATATGCATTATAGATCTATGTTTTTGTTCTCCTACAGATTTAGACTGACATTTCTCAAAGAATTTCACATTTTATTCAGTATCAATACTTTCCCAAGACTAGTTTTAGTCGTTAATCGTTAATATTTGATAGTCATTATGTCGACCATACTAGACTTCTGCTGTATGTTATTAACTGAATCATGAACCGATTCTTCTTTCAAGCATTTAACAGGATACAAATGGAGCATGTCAGTTCAGGTGGTCTGTGGGTTCAAAAGAGTGTAAAGTCGCCTCCACAGTCGTGTTCGGGCTCAAATTTATGGGTCGGGATCTCCAGCCGGATGGGAAGGATGCAGTGCGCCCAGGGCAGCACAGTGGCAACAGCACTTCCATCTGTTGTCACGGTCTGCTCATATCTGCATGCTAATCCTGCTCCACAGAAAACTAAAACACACACTGGGCCTGTGTTGGCTCAGTGACTTAGGGCTGGGGTTGATGGGATGTGAAATGCAGATTACAATTGTTTATTCTGCATTCATTCTCATAAGAGTCTTATAAATGTATTTTTGGATTTTGGAGATTACCAATAATCCATTATACTGTTACCACACAGTAACTTCCAGATCAGACATGGTTGGACCAGTTTAATGGAAGCAAATGGGAATCTTCTGTTATTGGAATGACTTCTCAGCTATGTACTATACACGCTTTAGTACATAGTTAAACTCCCACCCAGTTTAACATGGGCTGGGAGTCTATGTTTTTCTTTTCAAGCTAATAAATTGGAACCAAATTTGTTAATACATTTTGTAAACATATTGACATATGGTGAATGCAGTTAAATATTGCGTATGTCTATTTATGTATATATTTTTGTATTGGTGTTTATTATATGTAATGATGAATGTAGGAATGAAACTAGTATGCTCAAACAAAATTTATGAACATGAAAATCAATAAAAAAATATACTGAAAAATATTCACTAGTGTTGTGTAATTTGTGGTTTTTTGAATAACAGACTAATCCCACTTCTACAAGCTGCATCATGAAGCCCTGTTGTTGGAGGCTATGCAATTCAGATGCAACATACCCTGATCGATTGCCAGTCGGTAAATTTGTCATGCATTTGTCAAATACTGGGAGGATCCAGGAGAAAATGACACAGTTGAAAAGAGAGCAGACAAAGCAAAACGCTTAACATCAATGCTGGCAGTATTAAGAGTTGGATATAGCATTTTGACAAGGCTCTATGAACCTTTACTAGCATGAAGGTGAATTGGGAAGCAGCTAGGGCTGAGTATATTTGATTTTTTTTCAATTCATTTAGGAAGTAAGTATTTATTTCATACAGTACAATTTGAAAAAAACGGTTTGAAAAGAGGTTGGACGATCTTCTTAGAGATGGCTTGATACACTTAGGGTTGATGGATAAAAAATATGTTGTAAACACATTTTAATTTCCTTTTGCAGCCATTTTAGAAGTTAACTATGTATAGTTGAAAGCAATTTAATAATGTGGTTTCATTTAGTTAATCAATTAACTTCCTACAGTCCTACAAGCAGCAGAAGGGATCAGATGAACTTCAATCCAATCCAATCCACTTTATTTATATAGCACATTTAAACAACAGTTACGTTTCCAAAGTGCTGCACAAAAAAGTATAAAATAAATAACAACTTATCCTTAGCTTCACCAAGTATAAAAGAATAAAAATATATAAAACAGATTAAAACCATAAACAGAAAAATAAAACCACAGAGGACCACACAACTCACACAGTGTTAAAAGCCAAAGAGTAAAAGTGGGTCTTAAGACGAGACTTAAAACACTCTACTGTGGGGGCCGTCCGGACATGGAGGGGAAGAGCGTTCCAGAGCTTAGGGCCGACCACAGAGAAGGCTCTGTCCCCCCGGGTTTTAAGTCTCGCGTTAGGGACCACGAGCTGGAGCTGGCTCTCGGACCTCAGGGCGCGCGCAGGAGTGTAAATTTGGATGAGGTCCGAGATGTAATCAGGGGACTGTCCATGCAAAGATTTAAAAACAAACTTGTTAGTAATAAGAGCAAAGTTAGAAGTTACTAGTAATGTTACACGTAAACAATTTGAGCTGACTTTTTGTATCACTGGGTGAATACATACAGTATATAGATTGCGTACCTTTTGAATATTCCAATTATGTTCCCACGCATGTTTATGTATTCTCCTCTACATGCTATACTATACTGTCTATACTGTCAACGCTGTCTATACTGTCTACACTGAACCATGACAAAAACTTGTGCGGGACATGCAGGCTTACATGAAGTTTATATAAATAAATTGAATAAACAACAGATGTAAGTTTAAAAAAGGTTCAAACAACTCCTCACATCCAGGATTCTACTAATACAACTACATTTCAAGTTGTTAGACAGTGAAAAGTAAAAAATAAAAAATAAATCAGAATGAACTACCACGAACTACTAAACTATTCACTTGGATCGTGCTCCAATGACCACCAGTCTTGAACAAGTGAAAACGATACAGTTAAAGGGCAGAGCGCGTGTGTTGACCTGCTCATTTGTGGTTTAAATGTAGTCCATATTAAAACCACTGGATGCTTTTTTAACATGCAAATGAGGTGGAGGGTATTCAAGGTCAGTTATTTGTCATTATTCAGGGGCCGAAGGTGGTTGACATTCAGAGTGTGTCAGTGCTTCCACTCAGCAGATGTAGCTTCTGGCACAAAAGAGTCTACCAGAGCTGACTAATCATTCGTATATGCAGCCATAATGTGCTCTCAATGTCTGAACATACACATCATCCATCACACACAGATTGTAATGTCTTTGGGCTGGGGAAAAAGGGCATTGGTGGAAGGTGTGGCATATCTAAGATCTAATAAATATACATTTCCTCGGGCAAGAGAGGGAAGCAGCCAGATCTAAGGATTCATTTCCTATACTCCTGCCGACATAGCTGATAAGGTTTGATACAGTGCAGGGATGCAAAATCTACATCCAGCAACCAGATCTGGAGCTGTGTGAATGTGTGCTCCAAACACAAACACTCTTAAGTAATTGCTTTTGTCTCCTATTTGTAGAAATAGAGAAAAAGGCAAAAAGGTGCCTGAGTAATGCTAAAAAATAACACGTATATAGCTGGACATGGCCTCAGCTGGCTCTACCTTTCCACGGTTGCAATAAATGAGTACTGGAAAGCCAAGGCAACTAACTCTTGAAACCACAAAAACTGAACTTTGTGATATAATCCAAAATATTTTTTAGCTCTCAGTTTGGTTCTATCTCTAGTGTGTACTTTTTGTGACATCTTTGGGTCAACTTTTTCAGACATAAAAGTTAAAAAGAGAGAACCGCTCTTGCTCAGACAATCACCCCAAAATAGTGACTCACAAGGCTCATGTTGCAGCCTCGTTTGCTCAAAATGTTTTACTTTTATGATATTCTTTCTGCTGGGACAAACAGAATATCTTGTTATGACGAAAAAAGTTATGTTCGGCAGCTCAGCTTTAAGTCCAAAACATACAGGTGGAATGATATTCTATTTGTTCCCAGATTCACCTGTAGACTCTCCAGTTTTGCGTAAACTTTAGCATGTGATGTCCAAGAAGAATTCACAACTGTTATTTACAAGAATTATTGGGATGTAATCTTCAGACATTGAATTAATAATCCTTTTTTTTTGGTTGGGCTTTGCATGCATAATGTTGGAAACCACATTTCTAATAAAAACACAAATAGAAGGAATGAATAAGTACAGCTCCATGTAATTCATGGAATGCACTTTTTTTCTAGACTTTAGTTACCATGACAGAAATGTGCAGGATTCGGATCTCCTCTTTGGCAGAATTGTTGGCAGGGTCTTCGGTTGGTTCCGGCAGGCTCACACTGCCATCCTGGTGATGTATGTGAAACAGCAGCGTGCCATTCTCCAACCACTGCTGCCTCCAGCGCACCATCGGTATATCTTCTGAGTTTCCCGAAATCTCTGCAAGAAACCAAATGAACCATGTTAGAATACTTATTTTATCCAATCCAAACAAGTTTCCCCAGAGAAAAAAGTGAGAAAAGTGCTGCACAGACAAAAAACAAAAATGAAAAATAAATATACAGGTTTGCCAGCATTATATGTATCACAAATAGAATAAGTAAAACAAGTATGTAAACAATAAAAAATAAAATAAAATACCAGTTATCCAATTGAAAAGTAAGAATAAAAATAATTAAACAAAACAGATAAAACAGAGGACCACACAACTCACGCAATATTAAAAGCCAGAGAGTAAATTTACGTCTAAAGATGGAAGAGGAATAATACTTGTGATTTCTCTAAAACCGTGCTTCAGTGATCTCTTTGTTCATCAAGACTTTGGACTTCTACAAAAACTCAAAAAGTTTCTGATCTTTTTATGGCTGATTTAGTGTGAGGCTCTTTCTAAAAAAAAAATATAGAGCTAATTTGATCCAAAAGTCATCCCCATCAATGTCGGCTCTTTCACCTCAAATCCCCTTCTAAGCTGCACATATCTGATCCAAAAGCTGAGGAGAAACGCTAGGGGAAATGAAGAGCAAAGGATGATTTTGTGAAGGCGGTGAGCCATGAAACTCACTCCTTTGTCAAACCTTCAGATGCCAAACACTCCCTCTCTGTAGCTGATATAATAGCACAATACTGAGAGGTTGAAATGGAAAACATTACGAATGCATGCACAGTGGTCTCAGTTTTGTGAATGTACAGAACAAGAGCAAGCCTCAGAACTCGGCAATGGAAAAAAAAAAACAGATTACAGAAGCTGTTTAGTGACATTACTCTAAAATAATATCAATATAAAATATAGTGAGTTCGTTAGAACAATCACCACGAGAGCAGACACGTAATGCACTATACTATCATAATACATTATGTATGATCGACAATTTGGCCTAATGGAAACAGTGGTCCGTCGTTTCTTGTTACGTTATAAAAATAATCTGCAAAACACTTGTCTAACCCCCTGACCTATAGAGGTGCTCTTTAGGATCAGCATTGAAAAAACACTGGAAACATGTGATAAAAGAAAAAAACAAAAAAAATCGATAGTATAATATTGTTCATATTTTGTACTTGTATTGTATTAAAAGGAATGCATAAAAAAATACAAGAAAAACCATAGAGTATATTTTTACCAGCCAATGCCAAGAAAAAAAAGAATGGTGTTTAAACCTGAACTGTGGACCTGAACTAAAGAAGAAGTATTTCAGCTGTAACTACTGTGATGCTTGGTGTGGACAGAGGTTGACTGAGCAGGACTAAGCTTGACCTCAAACGGACCTTGGACAAAATTGGGGCCCCCCATCTGACCGTGGAGCCATTTGATATTACTGCAGTCACACCTGACACGACCACACAGCCGCCACAATCCAATCCACATGTTTGTTCTCTTGTTGAGCGGAGAATAACCCCAGCAGCAGTAATTCAACCCTCTGTCACCTTTTATATTGAATACCTGCACAATAACAAGTGTCCGTTGTTTGTTCGTTGTTGGTCTGAAAACCGACTCTGGCATTTAGAGAAGCAGCTTTCAAGGGTTTAAATTGTAAGATGAATTAATTGCATGTATTTTTCTACAAAACAAAATAAAAATAAGTCAGTTTTAATGTTTTAGTCTGTATTTATCAATATATTTTATACTATATTGTACTGCCTTTGCAATGGCCTAAAGCAACAGTCTTTGCCTTTTCTCACATTTCTCAAAAATCCTTTTAAATTCAGGCTCCCGAACAGAAACAGGAGGTGACTTGAACATATTGAACGTTCTCTATGTGTGAACTAACTCAGGCTGGGGACACTGTGAACTCTATCTCAGGTTCATATTGACAGGACTTTAAAGTGATTTTAACGGTTTTTTTAAGGCAGTGATTGAATGTCAAATTCACTAATTCACTCATGGAAATTGTTTAATGAAGAATTATCCATTTATACTGCATGAAGGAGATGAAGGTGGCTCTCAGAGACAGAGCTCAGAGGCACAGATTGGAGCAGGGAGTGGACAGGGTTCAAGGCATACCGACAAATCATTTCATATTGCAACATAATGTAAAGATAAGATACGATAGACTTTATTGATCTCACACATGAGAAATTTACAAGGGGTAGTGCTCCTTCTTGCACTGAGGGTGCCTCAGTCTTCCACTGAAGGAGCTCCTCAGCTCCTCTACAGTCCTGTGCAGTGGGAGGTATTGTTCATGATGGAGGTGACTTTGACTAGCACCCTCCTGTCCCTCACCTCCTCCACAGAGTCCAGGGAGAGGCCCAGAGTGGAGCTGGCCCTTCTGACCAGCTTGTTCAGTCTGTTTCTGTCCCGCTCTGTGCTGCCCGGGGCCCAGCACACGGCAGCGTAGTAAATGGCAGAGGCTACCACAGAGTCATAAAAAGTCCTGAGCAGAGGCCTGCTCACTCCGAAGGACCTCAGCCTCCTCAGAAGGAAGAGGCGACTTTGGCCCTTCTTGTACAGGGCGTATTATGGGACCAGTCCAGTTTATTGTTAATGTGAACAGCCAGGTACTTGAAGCTGTCCACCAGCTCAATGTCCTCCCCCTGGATGTTCAGCAGCATGTGGGAAAGTGGTTTTCTCCTGAAGTCGAGTAACCAACTCCTTGGTCTTACTGGTGTTCAAGCACAAGTGGTTGCGCTCGAACACCAGTAAGCAGTAAACAGTCTCAATTTGATCTAAAATGCAATAAATAGTGAAATAACAAGGCCAAAATTGTTTTCAGAATGTTTTGTGGACCCAATCTTTGTTTTTCATAAAAATTTGCTTAGCTACAAGAAACTTTATATTTTATAAATGATTGTTGCACTATCACTTAGCCTAATGCACAATACAATGTTAAATGGTTACATAATTCTTGTCTTAATTAGAGGTTAGAAAATCTGATCACCCTACACCATGCACATATAATATCGTATAGTACTTGAAATGCCATTGAAAATAAGACAATGTCACTAATTGCAAGCACAACTCTAGTCTATTATCTAGATCAGTGTCTCCCAAAGTGGGGTCCGCGGCCCCCTGGTGGGCCGCGAGGGTACTGCAGGGGGGCCGCGGGAGGTCATAAAAAAAATAAAACAATAATCCATCCATCCATCCATCCATCCATCCATTTTCTACCCTTTAATCCATTTCTGGGTCAGGGGGGTGGCAGTCAGAGATGCCACCCAAGTCTCATAGCACCAGCCCCTCACTGACCCTCTGCAGGTGGTGAGTCCACAGGAGGACGGCTGCTCTCTGACTGTGAGCATAGCCTTGATCTTTCAGTGGGGGCTTTGGGCAAAGTGGGGTTAAGTGTCTTGCCCAAGGACACAACGACAGCAGTCATCAGTGGGAGTCGGTGGAGAAGGTGCAGAGGTTGGAATTGAACCCACGACCTTCTGGCCTTAAGGCCAATGCTCTGCTCTACCAACTGAGCTACTGTCGCCCTAAAAAAATAATATAATTATTTAATGTTAAATTTATAATGTTTTGTTTGTAATATTAAAATATTTGTGTTCATTATTTGACTTGAATAATCCACTGTAATCATTTTTGTATTACAATGTTTGTAGCAGAGGCTATTTCCCCAAAATAAAATAACCAGAAGAGCCTATTCTTAATGTTGTCTTCTTGGTTATTATTTTGGGGGGCCACGCAGACCCGACAGATTTTTAAGGGGGCCTCGGTGTTACTGAGTTTGGGAATGGCTGATCTAGATATATTTAGCCAATTACACAGCTACCTAATCTATTACAGAATTAAAAGCCTATTTCAAACATAGTTTACAAGCAACAATAGAAGAAGCCAAGCAAGCAAAATGTGGAGCAGAAGTGCATGCTGGGAGTCCAACAAAGAAATGAGGGGACAGTGCCCATTAGTGTAGAGTCCATAATTGATCAAAGTCTACACTCGGCGCATGGCTGCAGGCAGGAATCACACAAAATAAATAATGATGAGTTTGACTTGATCAAAAGAAAAAGCCAAGACTTCAGTGCATGGGACTAGAGAATTAGGACGACAACGGAGACGAGACAAAGTAAATAAAACCCACTTTGTCTCTTGCGCTCTAAATATAAAACGTATAGGCTTACCCAGGCCTGGCCACCATTACACAGATTACTCCTGCAAGCAACATTTTCCTGCTGAAGATATACTTTCAACCAGCGACTCTAGCCAAAATTGAAACCTTGTTGAACTCATGTAAAATACTAACAATATTGACTGTTATCAAGAATATTATCAATTCTTTAAACTCTTTGGACTCATGTAGATAACGTCCAGAAACTAAGTCATACTCACAAACAAGCACAAATGTACAATGGAAAAATTTCGTAAAACATGGGGCGACACATTACCTACGTAAGAGGGCAAAGACAATTATAACAAACAATTTATAACAAATTGCTTAGAATTACATCCAATCATATCGAGAAGAAATACCCCTGCATCTAGACACGGATCCTATTGTTGTATATCGTATCAGCAGGCTCTGATAGATCCCCAGCCCAACAGATGAGAATACAAAATGTAGATATAGCATTTTTCAGTGAGATTCTGCTGAATCAGTTCTCTTTTTTTCAGATTACAAATGTGAAGAAATCACCACAGTTTAAAATCTTTCTTTAGTATGTGCCTTATCTGATATCTTCCCAGATACACATCGTTTGAGCATTAATCCACATTTAATGTACATGACAGCTATTATGGAAGGGACTTTATAGACACATGTGGTTCATTGCTCCTGTGGACTGTTTCATTCTGACTCATTACTTTTGCCCATAAAACTCAACATAACCTTTTATCTGCCCATCTTAACCTATACCAAATAATACATATATCAGGTCTGGGTAAACATTGTACTACATATATCTTTATATTTTTAGGTTTTGTCTAGAGTAATACAAATCTTTGTATTAAAACATATTTAAATCTATTGACTTGTGAAA